TTGAAATGTTTTTATTCCAGACATCCCGATGTATCAAAACGACGAGCGCAGAAACTGAACCTAGCCAGAGCTCAAAAAATTAATCATGAAGTTGTAGATGATCACTTTAAGAAGCTCGGAACTACTTTGATCGAAAAAAATTTTTAGGGCAAGCCGACCCAGATTTATAACATGGACGAAAAAGGGTGCCAGTTGACCCTTCATCATCAACAGACTATGCTGGCTCAGAAAGGAGCGAAGCGAGTACATCTAGTGGCCCCTGAACATGGAGAAAATCTATCAATTGTAGCATGTGCTAATGCTTTAGGACAATGTATTCCACCGCTCATCATCTATAGAGGTGTACGGATTAAGCCAGAGTGGTATATTACCCTACCCGAGGAGTCCAAGATTTTAATGGCAAAACGAGGCAGTATGACAACAGATGCTTTTATAAAATGGCTTTAGCACTTTTCTAAATTTAAAAGTCCGGGGCCAGTTTTATTATTCTTCGATGGAGCTTCCTCCCACTTAGACATTCGTATTGTTGAAGCTGCAGAACAATATGAAATCACTATGTTTTGCTTACCAAGCAATAGAACCCATGAACTGCAGCGCGCGACAAAGCTGTCTTTAGAAGTTTCGAATCGTTTTGGGACGAACAGGTTTTGAATTTTTGGGTGAATCATTCGAATGGACGAGCCATTACAAGAGCTAGATTTGGAGAAATTTTTACACCAGTTTGGTTGAAGTCGATTTTCTCTGAAAACATACTATCTGAGTTCAGAGTGACAGGTATATGACCGTTTAATCCAAATGCCATCCCGGAGGCAGCATTTGCTCCCAGTGTTCTCACACATCGCGCCTTACCTGACAATATATTGGAAAAGGATGTTGGTGAAAATAGCCAAATAATCACTGAGTCAGTTGCTGGTCCTAGTGGTATCAGTAAAGTAAATAAGTCTGGGTTATTAAAGAGCGACAGTGACTTGTCTGGATCATACACGAGTGATTTGTCAAGCGATGAAATTGAAGAGGAATTTGGTGTTTTGGAAACTTTGACCGACGAAGATAGAGCGGAAGAAGAGAAACGAGAAAGTGATTCACAAAGCTACGAAGCACAAAATGTAAATATAGAGTCTTCAGCAGAAAATAACAGAGCAAAAGAAGATAAAATAAATAAAAGATCAAAGAAAAGTGAAAATAAAGAAAAAATTCAAAGATTTTGATGTGAGCTTCAGCGAATCTGGGTTTTTCGCTACTCCTGAATTTAAAGTTTCTGTTAAAAAACGCCGTCCAGCAATCAACTCGAAAGCCCAATAAGTTACTAGAGATTTGTTTTCCGCTGCAACGAAAAAGTGTAATGAAGACGAGAAAAAGAAAGTAACAATGAAAAAGGATCTGGCAGAGAAAAAAGGAAAAAACATAAGCAAAGAAAAAATACAAGTGAGCAAAACAGAAGAATCCTGGTTCTGCTTCATTTGTAATGAAGAAAAAATTGCAGATGCAGGAGATGTCATATGTGCGGCACCTATGTCCACAAAAAGTGTGTAGGACTAAGAAAAGAAAATAAATAGNTTGTGGTCATTATTTAAATGTGTGAGAGTTTTATAAAAAATTATGTGAATGTGAATTTGTATGTGAATCCAAAAATCCGAAGATCTCCCGAAGAGAGGACGACCCAATAAATATTTATGTGAAAAAATCATAAGGTATCCTGAGCAGAAGGCGACAATAACATACCATATTGTTTTTTATTATAAAAAGTTCGACAAAAATGGAGTGGCAGCATTGCTTCGAGCAAGACCGCTGCGCCCCCCGCCCCCGGCGAAGCTTCTGTCAATTTGATGGGAGGAGCCTGGACAAATGCGCCCAAGTGGGAAACAACGTCCAACAAATTTAGAGAGAGAGAGAGAGAGAGGTCTTGAAGTTATGCACTTGCGAGAAGCAATTCGAAGGAAACGTCCGGTATTGTAGAAAAACATTCGTATTGCTTGTTCGTGACTTCTTGGCCAAAAACAACACCGTAATCATGCCTTAGCCACCATATTCACCAGATTTGCGACTTTTTCCTGTTCCCAAGACTGAAGACGTCTATAAAAGGACAATATTTGGCGACGATTGGAAAGATAAAAACCGAATCGCTGAGAAAGCTCAAGGATATACCAAAAAGTGCATACCAGACCTGCTTTGAGGTTTAGAGAAACCGCTGGCACAACCGTATTATATCTTAGGGAGATTACTTCGAAGAGAACAGAATATAAATTGATGAATGAATAAATATTTTTTGAGAATGAATATAGTTTAAAAAACCAAGAAACACGCTTTTGAAGAATATCGAACTGAAAAGTTCTGAAAAGTATTATTGTGAAAAAAGCGACGGGCGCTTGACTTTTAGTTCGAGGTTCTTTAAAAGCGTGTTTTTTAGTTTTTTAAACCATATTTATTTTTCATTTTTTAGTTTCGTATGCTATAAAAGCGTGTCTTTTTAACCTATATTTATTCTATCTGAATTTTGGGATCAATCAGCCGTACATTGTTTAGAAAAATGACCATTGATATTTTCCGATTCCGGGGAGGGAGCCTGAAAATCAGCTACCAAGCCCAAGAAAGGCAGCAGGGGCACAAAGGAGGTTTACAAATACATGTAAAGTGAGTTCGAATTATATCAAGGAGGTTACTTACGTACAACGCCATCTGCCCGCGACTATATCAAGCAACAATCTCGATAACAAACTGACAAACAAGCTAATATAAAGCATGTAATTAAAGTGTGGTAAAAATGAAAACACACCATATTTTTTTAAGAAACCTCGTACATCACGGTTTCGTTGTGAAAAACTCGATTATTTTCGCTTGCGGCGTTGTAAATAATAGTGTGATGGAAATTGCTGACTTTGCTTCTATCATGGTAACAATTATTCACGGGTGTACGATCACAAATGTCATCACCTCCATTATCTCCGCGCGCACCATAACAACTGTCATAACATAACAAACCAAACGTCGATAATCTGTTAATGGGCTTGTTTCATGCTATGGAAAATGATACTGGTTTGCTTATAGACTGATCGAGTTAGGGGTATATTATACTCATCAAACCTAATCGGCCCCAAGATCTCTTTATATTTGCAAAAAAAACCAATTCGAAAAGCAAGAATTTAAATTGGCCGCGTGTCTGTTGACCAATAAAATTGATCGTGTCTAGAGCGGAGTTGCCAAGTGTATTGGTTTTAAATATCCAATCACAGATCTGATGATCCAATTTGACAGACGTCATTTTTGTTGTTATTGTTTTCAACTCGGTGTGAAAACAACTGTTACAATTATCTAATTACAGAACGTTTATTTTTTTAAAAGGTAGGTCTCGGCGAGTGCCTATTTTGCTGCATATTCCGTGTCATTAGTTTACATTCTGAAAAATATGTTTCAGGTTATTTTGGGATTGAATTTTACCATTACTACCTTGGCCGAGCTAAAATAAAAATTGAATCAAAACTTTCCATCCTTCGATAAAATACAGAGTCTGAAATGAATGTCATATAAATAAAAGGGACCTACTAAATATACCACCTACCGTTTTAATTTTTCATTCTTCACTTCGGTACCAAAGTATTGCAAAATTTCAAATAAAATTCATCGATCACTTCAAAATCGACTCTTGGTAAGTTGTCGGAGTCAGCTTTAACAAAACTAGGCTCAACATTCATTTTGAAATTAGTTTAACAAAAATACGAAATTATGTGTAGAAACCATTGACATTAAAAAGAGCACATTTTCGCATACACTACAGAGGGCGCTGGCTGACTGGATGACGATATGGCTAATATGCCAGTAACGTTGAATTTCTTATTTTTGGTGGGTGGCATGAATGCATAATTGATTTATTTTATTAGGGTTCATGAACATTCGAAAACCATTTGAAAATATAGCTCATTAAATTCTACTTAGAACCATATTTAGATATAATTTGTACTATATCAGTTATCAAGGCAAATATCATTGTCCATTTTTATGCTTAATTCGTGGATTCGACCGATCTTATCATTATGTATTTATTTGTTTGCTGGCTTCATTTCTCATTAATTGAAACGTTAACGGGTTCATATACACTTCCATAATTGTATTGATAATTATAGGCTTCGTGAATTTTACGATTTGGCAATGTTGATTATTTCTATTGTTCCTATTGGTCAATCGAACAAGAAGTGGGAATAGAAACGTGACTTCACCGCCCTATCACATTCGATTTTTAATAATTAATTACAAGAAAACTACGGTAGTTGGAGAGCTGAAACAAAGTGCACTGTTTTTCAATTTGAAATTTCTATCAAGTGACCTATAAACCAAAAATCATGAAACAAGCCCATTGCTTATTTTTTCTTGATTTTACGAACGTTTCAACAGATGTTCTGCTTTTCTGTGGGGAGACAAATCCATCATATCAAGAATCGGTTCTGCGGTTTTTAAGTGGAAAATAATGTAATTAACAAGATTTTGCGATTTATATATCTTAAATGCTAAGAGTTCTACTTTCTATAGAAAAAATTAGACTGATTATTAGCTCATATAGGTTGTTCACGCAAAGAAGAGAATGACGTCACAAGATGACAAGTTACGGCGTTGCCAACATGTGCACTATTTCGAACTTTCAATTTTTTTTGTATCGTTGATATGTTTTATTGCTATTATCCTTACTTACTTTCAGTATTTGTTGGGACTATTTCGACAATGCTTTAGGCATATCTAATATACGGAGGTCTCATCAAAAGAAATGATTAGTTCTGAAAAGAAAAGAAAGACTGACAGTTTTCGAGTTTTTCTCGATTTGGCAACGTCTGAAATTTTACTAGCAGTTTAGCAACTTACAAAATGAAATATTACTAGTTTCATTGCTGTTGAACGCATTTCAGTGAGAATTTTAACGTTGTTATATTGGATATACAAAATTACCAAAAATGACGTCATTCTCTTCTTAACGTGAACAGCCTAACTTTCCATTTTGCCACATAAATACTTACCCAATTGCTGAATGGTGATACAGCCGAATATGCCAAATTAGGAATGAGCCAATTTTTTATGTCGTCTCTCTCAGCATTTTCAAACCAAGTTCCTTCAATATCTTTCACGATTCCGTTAAATAAAGAAAAATCTAAAATACTATTATATTTTCTTATTTCATCTATTGTCATATCGAATTTCTTCAGTTCATTCAAACAAATAGTTACTTCTCTTTGTGTTTGATAAAACGCAGGGCTTTTCGTCCTGTTTTTGCTTTTGAGATTGAACTTTTCAAGTGTTGTGTTTTTTGATTGTCCTCCGATACGTAAAAGTTTTTTAGTACTTTTCAGAATTCCTTCCAGGAATTGATCCAATGCATGATTAGTGAAACATATAACCAACAAGGGCGTATTATTATACCAAATACTATGATTTTTCAACAGAGTATGCGCAATTTTGAGACCTAAAAATGTTTTTCCAGTTCCTGGCGGCCCTTGTATAACCGATATTTCGCTTGTCAAAGCAGCTTTCAAAGCAATATTTTGTGAATCGTTGAGACCATAAAAATTTTGGTGATGTTTCAAGTACACAGTGGGCATGCTCTTTCCATCTATAGTTAACATTGTATGTAAATCCATATATTTTGGCAAATGTACTTCTGAACTGACGTCTATAATGTAACTTTCCATTGGAAAATTGTCCTCTGTGAGTCTTTGCAGAGCTGTTAAAACATGATAGTACGGTTCGAAGTATACTTTACTTTCAACCATTATATAATCAACATTATATTTTACAGCCAGATTTTGATGTCCATCAAATCCCACTACTAGTTCACCTTTTTTTATCATTTCAGGATCTCTTTTGACAATTTTTGCAAAAATGATGCTAACAAATTGATCGTTACTGAAGCAAACAAGTGATCCGAACATAAACTGTTTAGAATTTTCATATTTCAGAGTCTTCTTCTCATTACTGAAATCAAATTTCATTCTGAAACATTTCAACTCATTGATATTCTCTTCACATAAAAAATGGATCTTCTGATGAATTTTTATATCATCATAACGTTTCAAATCGGATTTTTCCAAGTACTGACAAATTCCCCTTCTTAGAGGTGCTATGAAATCTTCCCTTAGTAATCGAAATTGTACGTCTAAATAGTGTTCAACATTTCTATAAGGGCCCTTGATTTTGTTTCTTCTGAGAAATGGTTCTTGTTTGACAATAACCTCAAGAATATCTGGAATAACACTGACCGTTCTGAAATCGTTAGGAGGAATCCAATCATCTTCATTGTTATTATGATAATGTTGAGTAGCTTCCAGATGAAACTTTTGTTCCATTTGTGATTTCATATTCTCTACTTTCTGAAACAACACTTCGAATCCGTTCTTTATTTCTTCAGAAATATGAATACTTTGTTCTGTTTCCAAAATGGGTAGAGTTCTAACTAATGATTTCAAGATATTTGGAAGAATTTCAGAAGCTAAAGTTGGTGTACTTGTCATATCTCTAAAAATGTCTATGAGATTGTACCAGAATCGGTCGGAATCATTCCAGAAATACTTGGTATTTTTCATTTCGCGTTGGTCGTGGTATGGCAAACTTGTAATGAAGGATTTTAATTGCTTGGTGTAAGATCCATTTGTAAAAACAGTTTTATATATGTGTATCTTCGAATTATCGAAACTGCTTTTAGAAACCTTACTTAGTATGTTAACTATCAAAACCAAAAAATCTCCAGAAAGGTCGTTACTTTGTACGAGATTTTTGAAGCCAGCTTTATCATTGAAAAGATTTTGTATCAGTTCTTCAATATCTTCATTATCACCTAACTTTTCGGCAAGTTTAAATCCCATTCTCCTAGCGCCTGAAACATTGAAATCATTACATTATTCGCAGTATTCAATAATTACTATCAAATGATTCAATTCCATTCGATTTGATAAATTGGTTAAGGCTTTTGCGGCCGAGATTTGGCTACGATACGTGGATGACACCTTCATTATCTGGAGACATGCGAGAGACAAACCTAACCTATTTCTAGACCACATAAATGCTCAACACCCTAGCATCAAGTTCACCATGGAAACTGAACAGGAACAACGAATAGCTTTTTTAGATGTACTCGTCGAAAGGCGTGGCACAAAACTGACACATAAAGTGTACTGAAAACCGACACATACCGACAGATATCTGTATGCATTTTCGAATCACCATCCAAGTCAAAAACGGGGAATTATCAACACCCTGACGAAACGTGCCCGTAGAATATGTGAACGGGAACACCTACAAGGAGCATATTGGAGCATCTTCAAGTGGCTTTAAGATCGAATAGATACAGTGTAACCGAGATCAACAATGCCATGAAACTGAAGACTTCTTCAAGTCAAAATAGGGAGGAAACTCATACGGTTTTACTTGCATTTCTACCGTACATCCCTAGGGTTACAGACGAAATCGAAAAAATTTTAAGGAAGCATAACATAAAAACAGTGTTCAAGCCCACCAGGAGAATACAACAAAGCCTGAGATCTGCGAAAAATGAAAAAAATCCACTATCAGCTGGGGACGTATATCGTATACCATGCACCTGCGGAAAATTTTATATCGGTATCACCAAAAGATCCATGGGTACAAGGCTGAATGAACATCGGAGAAACTGTAGCTTAGGTCAAATAGAAAAATCGGCAGTTGCAAAACACGCGTTCAGTGAAGGAGATCATACGATACTGTTTGAAGATGTGAAACTACTTGCACCCGATTAAGGATATCACAGTCGGCTTGTACGGGTAGCCATAGAAATCCATAAACATACGGAAAACTACAACAGAAAAGAGGAAGCGATAACGCTCAACGGGATTTGGAATCCCATACTGAAAGACGCTAAGGTGGCAACGGTGCAATGCAATGTAACGTCATAAACAGGTAAAAACACTTCGGCGAATAGCAACGCATCAGTTAGAAAGGCGGGCTACCTGAGTGAACATAAATACAACTTACGAACTAGAAATCACCATAGTTGAGTTGTTCTCGAGCATTCGAAGAAGTAACATGCTAAAATGAATGAAATCATCGACACGTTTGTCGTCAACGCTAGTAGAGAAAAAAGAGACATGGTTTTAGCCATGATATCTAATTTATTGGACTTATACGAAGTCTCCCCACAAGAACTCGTTTCCACGCACATATTAATGCGTAGACGAAGGCAGGAACTTGAACAAAAATGAGCCTGCGGTTATGAATCACCAGATGATATGTCAGGCTATTCCTCTGAAGAAAGCCTGGAAGAAGAGGCGACCCTTAATAAAAAACGCTCAGCGGAGACAGAATCTCCCATAAAACAACTACAAACGAACAAGATTAAAACGCAGGCACAAAACGCGGCGTCAAAAATAGGAAAGACGGAAATCCCGCCAAGAAAATGTAAGAAACTCAGGGTCAACCACCCTGAAAACAAAGAAAATCAGATATCCTATGAGGCTCCAAAACCTCAGCAACCCGAAGAAAACCTTCCATCTGAAGAAATGGAAACTGAAATACAAGACGAAGCGGCTGCGATGTCTAATACAGCACAGGCAACGGGCCCTAAAACAATCAGACCACCACCTATCACAATAAGACGAAAAGATAAGTGGACCAAATTTGATGAAATAGCCGCAAGGGAGAATATAAAATTCACGAAAGCGGTAAACATCAACGACTGAGTAACGCTAGCCCGGACGACTTCAGAAAAATAGCCAAAATGCTAGTCAAAGAGAGCATCCCGCACCAAACATACACAATGCAGGAAGCAAAACCACTGAGAGTTGTACTTAGAGGCGTCCCTGAATTCCTTAAGATTGACGAAATCAAAGATCATCTGAAAGCCAAAGGCTTCGACACTATATCGGTAGCCAGGCTGAGGAAACAAGCCAAAAAGCCACTCCCGCTAGTATTGGTTCTAGTCTCCAGGAAGCAGAACCATATATACGATGTCAGGAAAATTCTAAATGTCAGAGTGAAGAGCGAACCTCAAAGACCGCGGAAAACAGTGGGGCAATGCTACCGCTGTCAGAAATTTGGGCACTCGCAGAAAAACTGCAAAGCAATCCCAGCATGCTTGAGATGCGCCGGCCGCCACATGACGGCTGAGTGTAAAAAACCAAAACAAGCTCCAGCTAAATGTTTTAACTGCAAAGGGGACAACCCAACTAACTACCAAGGATGCCTGGAGCATCCTAAGAACACCAAAGCCAAAGACCCGCCAGCCCAAACAAAAAGGCCGACAGAAACAAATCTGATCAAAAACGGAGACTCATACGCGAGGGCCGTTAAAACTACAAACAACAGTGACCCCAGCTCGGTTGACAGCCTATGCACGGCCTTTGACAAGCTACAGGCCCTGCTGACGAGCTTCCCCGTTCTACAAACTATGTTGATGGTCAACCCCCCACCAGCTAAGACAAACTGAACGGCGAGTCTTGGCCTACACCTGCCGATATAAAGGAGATGTCTCCCAGCGACCTGTCCACCTTCCTGGAAAGGACAGGATGGACGACGACCTAGGAGGACAACTCCTCGGGAGGATGTACAATGGGTCACATGTGGCCTAAGTGCGTGGGCTTACACTCACCCTCCCTACTCTACAGATACAGATACAGAACACCTCAAAGACCTCGCCACGGGGTGAGATTACAGCAATCTCGAGGCCACGTGAGTGCTATTCACAAAGAAAAGTCCCTTGCCAAGAGGGACACCCCAGGCGGCGGGAGAAATCTCGGCCGCGCTCCAAAAATAACATACAGATCCATATAATAAATCACGATGAAAGAGTCAGGGATTCAATATTCAAAACTCGCCTGAAATTAAGATGACCACCGCCTAGAAATCACTATTCATCGGTGAACCATCAAGATGAATAAACCTCTGAAGAAGCCAGTCAGTCGTTCAGGCGAAACGTTAGGATACAGTAACAAACCACGATGGCCTTCAAACCCGAATCCATTCGATTTGTTCAATATCATTTGATATTAACATAGGTAAAGTAATAACAATCTATTAATAGTTTCTGTCTGCGCAGTAGTTCAGAATACGCCTGACCATGCTTTTGATTTGTTCATTGCTTTTCACTGTTTGTCGAGAGCAACAACAACCTACTGCCCTATTCAAGTAATACTTTATACTGAGATTTTCAGTGAATAGTTCACAAAACCACAACACTTGTTTCACTGTACAGTAGATTCCACGTGTTCATCTCAGTATGAACACGTCTGAGGAAGCTATTATCAAGTATCGGCCAATTTCATCATAAAACCTACTTCACCTACTGTACTTCTATCATGTATGAAAAACTAGAGGATCATCACTGTGATTCGAAAACTGACACTGCTCTTTTCTTGAATGACTTGCCTGTATAGTAACATTTTCGATTCAGTGAAGTGAAAATTGTAGCCTTTGCATAAGCCTTTCAAGTGAGTTGAAGTTGAACCTCAGTGAGGGATTGCATTTTATTGTCGGCCTCACCAGTCCAGAAATCTGCAACTTGAGAGGGTTGACCTTAGATCGGCGAGATCTCCGAAATTACCCGTAAATTTTTCGAGAATTAACATAACAAGCATCTTTGTCCCCGGTCTACGTCCTCTTCATTTTCCTGAGTATGAACCTTCATCGACGGATTGAAAGACACAGAGTCCTTAAGCTAGGTAAATACCAAACGATACTTTCTATATTTATAGCTGTAGCGGAGTTGTAGACTTCAAAACTGCTCGAGAAAGAACAAAAATACCTACAGTTAGTTGAGAAGGCTATTCTTCTCCAGAAAAGCAACATGGAATGAGGATGTTAACAAATTGATACGAACCATCTACAAGCAGAAGAGAAAAGTGAGGTACCTACGAATACCAAAACCTTTCCGTATCTATGTATTGAAAGTTGTATGGGGACGACATCTGATTAACGGAAAAACAGATTTTAAAACAGATTTTTCAAAGGTAAAGTAAAGATTATTCAGTCGAGGTAAATACATAGTTCAACTCACTGTCAGAATTTTCTCCTAGTTCTGAACGACCTTCAGTTCGTCTATGTCTATCTCCTCTTCTTGTATTATTTCCAATATCAACATTATCCCGGCTCTGATCTCGACCTCTGCTCTGATCTCGACCTCTACTCTGACCTCTACCTCTACTTTGACTTCGACCTCTTCTCCACCAGTTGCCTTTTCCACTAGAGTCTGAAATGATTAGTATTATTATTTACATTAAGAACAACTGTTTCCATCTGAAACCCTGGATCAATCAGTTGGAAATTTGAGCATGAGGAGTGGTTTGCCTTTGGAATATGTTTCAGATCGTAGACAAAATCATACCATAAATTTACTCGTTTAAATGCAATAAATTCAAGAAATTTAATGTCCGTTAACCAACTGAATCTTTATCAAAACGAAATTCGTGCGGCAAAGTTGTTCACCTACAATTTATATAAAGTTATAAGTCCCGATAGATCGGATATGGAGTTCTGGCTCGTCGTCAATATCGGATGACTCAATCATGCTGAGTGAAACGTCTAGTACCCCGAAAGGACAAAATTGAGTCCAGCTAGTCCTAAGATTTGTCTGTAGTTGATTCCGCCACCGCGCTATCTGCATACAGAAAGCAACTCTACAAAACATACTTCGGGGTGAGAGTCAAGATAATAATCATATTGAGGAAAGAGAGGTACCTACGAAATAGTGACAATACCAAAACATTTCTATATTTGTGTATTAAAAGAGAAAGTAAGGATTATTCAGTCGGGGTAAATACATAGTTCAACTCACTGTCATAATTTACTCCTCGTTCTGAACGACCATCAGTTCTTCTATGTCTATCTCCTCTTCCTGCATCATTTCCAATATTAACATTATCCCGACTCTGATCTCGACCTCTACTCTGACCTCGACCTCTACTCTGACTTCGACCTCTACTCTGACTTCGACCTCTACTTTGACTTCGACCTCTACTTTGACTTCGACCTCTTCTCCACCAGTTGCCTTCCCCAGCAGAGTCTGAAATGATAGTATTATTCTTTACGTAAAGAACAATTGTTTCCTTCTGAAACCTGGGATCAATCAGTTGGCAAATTGGGCATGAGGACTGGTTTGCCTTCGAATGTAAATTTACTCGTCAGTCGGTAGCCAAGCGGTTCGGTGTGGGTGCTTTGTTCACTCACTCGAATTGACTGCCGTCGTTACTTTGTACGAGATTTTTGAAGCCAGCTTTATNTAATCCTTAGTTCGCACAAGTTTCGACTTCTGAGGGTTGTCGTTCGTAGGGGTGCGACAGCTGGTTAACGGAAAAACAGATTTTTTTTTAATGCAATAAATTCAAGAAATATGTACTAGTGGTAACGGAGACTGAAACATCTCTGGTAAAATCTCTGGTCAAAACGGAATTCGTGTGACAAAGTCGCCCGCCTACAATTTTTATAGAGTCATGATTCCCGACATGGTCAGGATAACCACCGACAGACCGGTTTGGTTAATGAAGTTCGGGCTCCTCGTCAATGCCGGATGACTCAATCATACTGAGTGAAACGTCAGAGTAGCCCGAAAAGACATAATTCGATCCAACTGGTCACCAGATTCGTCTGTAGTTGAATCAGCCATTGCGCCAGAAATGGTACCAGAAGTAAAACATTTTGGTATCTGTGTATTGAAAGGGTAAGTGATGGTTATTTAGTCGGGGTAAATACATAGTTCTACTCTTTGCCAGAATGTCCTCCTCGTTCTGAACGATCATCAGTTCTTCTATGTGTATCTCCTCTTCTTGCATTATTCAGAATATCAACATTATCCCGACTGTGATATCGACCTCTACTCTGATGTCGATCTCTACTCCTACCTCGACTATGACTTCGACCTTTTCTCCACCAGTTGCCTTCTCCACCGGAGTCTGAAATGGTAAGTCTGTATATAAAGAAATTCATAGTATTTATTTTGTTTCTAATAAAAGATGTATTCTTGTAGGCCTTTTTCCAACCCCAAAAATACTACTGATGAGTCCATCTGAAACCCTGTATCAATCAGTTGGAGACCTGGGCATGGAGACTGGTTTTGCCTTTGAAATATGTTTCAGACTATAGATAAAATGGCACCACAATCTATATCTCTCCCAACTAACTAAACAGTAGGCTCTGGTAAACGACTATCGAAAAACAAGTACTTCTCCGGCTAATACCACATACACACAAACGCACACTAGTCTAGTCAGAAGCTTTGTAGGATTGCTACCACGACATCTGCAGGCAATGTCAGGAAGCAACTCCACAACACATACTCCGGGGCGGGAGTCAAAATAATTAATATATTGGGAGAGAAGAGTTGCATACAAAATGCTCAAGTTCTGGTGAAAATATCAACCATTCTCCGTATGTGTGTATTGAAAGTAAAATCAAATGCTCACGTATACGGGGTGAGTTCACAAGCTACAATCCGGGTTTTTCACAAGCAGCTAACCAGTCCAGTGCACTCGGTACACTAGCTCAGTTAGCTGGTGTGAAAAAGCTTTGGAGAAAGTTGAACTGCGGGTGACTTTACACACCTCTTACCGGCTAAGGGTTATTTAGTCTGGGTGAATTATATAGTTCAACTCACTGACAGAATTTCCTTCTTGTTCTAAACGACCATTCGTTCTTTTGAGTATTCCTCTTCTTGCATTATTTCCAATATCAACATTATCCCGACTCTGATCTCGACCTCTACTTTGATCTCGACCTCTTCTCCTCCAATTGCTCTCCTCACCAGAGTCTGAAATGAAAGTATTGTTCATTACATAAAGAAATAGTATGTTTTTCTAGAAGATATATTCTTGCAGGCCTTTTTCTAACTCCAAAAATACTACTGATGACAGGAGAACAATTGTTTCCATCATTTCAAAAACAATTGACATTATTACAGTATTGCCGACTGTATGTCAATTGGGAACAATTTATAGGTAACTCTGGAAATTGGAAAAATGGGACATTACATTCGAAGAAAACACATAATGTCATTACACGAATCGAACTCTGTATATCGAATTATTGTTTTAGAAAACAGCAAGTTCAATTCAATTCATTGTCCCGAGAAACATCGAATACTTATAATTAGGAACACCTGCTAACCACTTAATATGATCAAATAACAGTGAGATATGCAAATAATTCACAAATAGTACAACAGCGCAGAAAATCAAGTTATTCTTATTTTGCTATTTATAATTTTTTCATTTGTTATACAAATTTTATAATGAATCAGTGCTTCACTATTTTATTTGGAATTCAATTATTTATTAATGATGCCTTTGGGCTATATCAACTTTTTTCCAATATAGGTTCTTTATGGTCATTTGGTTCATCAGGTAGCATGAATATAAAAACGGAACACAACGAAAACAATAAGTTAATAATGAAATCTAATGAACAAAACATTGCATTGCAAATTGGTTCATATTGATATCTACTATATAAAAATGGATGTTTGTTGGTTGGTTGGTTGGTAAGTGATAAACTTCTACATCTCTCAACCGATCGTGATGATACTTGACATGTTAAGTAATTTTTCATAGAGGTTTTTAGGCTATCAATTTTTCTGTAACCCGCCACCAGATGGCACTGCAGAACATTTTTTTTTGAAAACACTGTTCTATAACGCTGCGCACGCCTAGGTTCGTTGATTCTGATTCTGTCAAAATATTGGAACAGCAGCGATACAGCAACATAGTACTAGTATAATATAAAACAGTATTGAAACTTCTTCTGCCTTTTTTATATAATTATGAACGCAGGCGGTAAGGCAAAAAAACGAAATTCGACAATTCTAGTTATTGGCGAATATTTCAAAAACAACCACTGATATTCTTGATCTGAAAACAGATCATTCTAGTTTGTTCACTTCAAGCGACTACAAAAATCGATAAAGAGAACTAGAGGTCCGTATTAAAAAAAATGAAAACTGACGAAATTCAATACAATCTTTGAACCCCTATTTTTCCCCTTGGGGGTGGAAATTGCTGATTCCCTTTTTTAATGCTTATTTGCGTTATACAAATAACCTACTTGCATATTTCAAAATTGTAGGTTAATTAGCTGTACGTTAACATAAGAGCGAGCAGCAGCTACTAATTAATGATTTTACTTTAAAAATACAGTAACTGAAAAAATATGCCAACACTAAGTAATGAATAGCATCGAGAATCGAATTATGTTACCCATAAAGAAATTCGCAAAACTAACACAACCATCAATGACGTCTGCCCTCACGCGTTTGCCCGCGTTCGGGTCGCGTTCTCGGCGATGGCGCTTCATTGCTCAGATCGCCCCTCTACCCCTGCGCATCGTCCCCCGTCGTCTTACAGTAGACACAACGCGTAATGTCTTACTGCGTTGCATCAAGTTAATCTTATCGAGATAACTTTCAAACGATTCGTCCAAATTACTTGGTGTGAAAGGCAATGTTCATCTATATTGAATACCTAAAATTATAATTGTATCAATTTTTATAAGAATTCATTCATTCACCTATTTTTGCTACACTTGTTTCCTTATAGCAGTCAGTTAATTCAGCGAATGTTTGGCAATACAGTCGATCATCACTTGTTAAAAATTCCATTTTCAGATGATTTAACAATAACCTCTGCACGGACTGGTTATTAGTCATATTAGGAAACGCTTGATGAAGTTCAAGAAATTCACATTTATTTTTGCTACCTTTTGAACATTTACTACAAAGTAAACAAGTGAGGATTTTTCCACCAAAAGATTTACAAACACAAGACGACATGGACTGTACGGAATCATTCAATCAAGAGCGGTCAGGAGTATTGATTCTGCTATTGTTTTGCCCAGGAGAGTATTCAACAAGAACCCCAAGAATTCGGACCTCTTGTTGTCCTAACGAGTATTTAGTGGATTTCAAAGACTCCAGGAAATCGGTTGGAGGGAAAGATGATACATTCTTACGAAACTGCAGCTGCATGAACAGGTGTTTGAGTTTGATGAATAAGTAGGAAACATTCCCGTTCTCGTTCATCATCAAAACCTCGTTCTTGAAATTGTGCATTGTAAAAAAGTATCTTATTTATTTGTATGGCTCAGTATTTTGCATATTGTGGCTACCACATACGAGGTAGATATATGCTATCGCAGACTTTTATTCAGAACTATTTAAGATAAGCAAGAATTTTTCCAACTTACTTAATACTTATCGTTATGTTATGATCAAAATTACACAAAACGTCTGTGAATTGTAGCCTATATGTTATTATGATGTATAAGCTGTATTCATGTTTAGTTTCATCTAAATCAGTTCAGTCGTTTAGGTCTGAAAGAGCCACAAACATAGACACATATATCCATTCTCACAAACTTTCACATTTATACTAGTATAGATAGATTATAAAAAATATAAAACAATATTGACAGTTCTTCTGCCTTTTTTGACAATTCTAGTTTTTGGCGAATATTTCTCTGATATCCTTGATCTAAAAAGAGATCATTCTAGCTCTCTAAAATAGAAAAGTTTTTTCCAATTCAGCCAATCTTGTAGATCGGCAAAATACGTGGACTTTTCAAAAAGTAAGGTGAATCATTGAATTTCGCTGGCTACATACATTCGATTAGCGATTTTTTTTATGTTGGTACACTCTTCTCGAACATACAGAGTGGTCCAACGAAAAGTATGCACAAAGTATGCTCGGACAGGTCAATTTTGCTTCTGAGGGAGACACATTTTAGATGTATTTTTCTACCTGTGCCTTTAACCCCATAGCGAGGGTGAGTAACAACCCTAAAATTTTAAATGGAAAGTGGGGTCGAGTGATATATCATTTGAAAGGGCACAAAATTATCTTTCCAATGATACCTAATTTGTTGTATTTCACTCAAACATGTAGGTATTATGAAGAAAAACAACTACAACCCAGTACTTTGAAATGTGTAATTGACTTAGTAGAATCCTACTTCAGCAAGTGCTGAAAATGTAACCCATTTGCTTCCATACAATAATACAGATTTTGTTCAAATCTATTCCTAACATTCTGTAGCATATCAGGTGTTATACTTCTNTGTCAGAGTTTAGTGCCAGTTTCAATATGAATTTCAAAGAAGAAGCACTATTGCGAAGCACTATATCTTTTGTTTGATGGTTATTGACAATGTTTCGTGGTGCATTTCATCAGTTCGGACTTCCATTGTCTAATATGATATAAATTGATTTGAAATCCCTAAAATAATCTATAAAGAAATTAAAAATATTAGCTGAAAAAACAATTTGATTAACCAAAAAACTGAAATTTCAATGAAATAACATACAAGCAACAACGAGCGGTAAATTCCGGCAAGACGAAAAAACATTTTTTTAATTACTTCAGAATATCCATTAGTTCTTTTGATGAGTTAATTAGAATTTTTAAATCAAAAATTGAATGCTGTGAGACCAATATGAAAAAAAGTACACGACGGTGTACGCGGTTGGGTACGACTGCAAGTTTGTGGTTAGTATACGGCGGATGCCGCGATGACGGATGCCGGCGGATGCCGCGGAGATCATCAGCAAGTTGACTGCAGACGCCCATTTTGACTTTTGTTAACGTCCGTGTACGTGTAGTACAGTATTTCTTTTGGGCGGCTTGAGTTCGCTGGAAAGCGACTGCAATTGTGTGGTCGATCCGACCGCAAAATGTGGCTCGTGTACGTGTACTTTTCCTCATATTGGTCTCACAGGATTCAATTTTTGACGTCAGTTGCCTCAACTGCAAGTGCGGTTTATATGACCGCAAGTCGACCACAAAAATGTGGTTGGGTCAACCGCGAAGTGCAGTCAACGTGACCACAATGTTGTGGTTGCCTCAACTGCAAATATGTGGTCCGTGTACGGCCGGACTCAAACACGTGAAATGTTGACGGTGGCATATGGTGATTGTACTCTGATTCAGAAAAAAAATTACAAGTGGTATAAGCTTTTCACTGAAGCTCGGGAAGATATGAAAGACACCGCTCGCCCTAGATGCCCCAGCACATCAACAACCGATGAAAATGTTGAGAAAGTGAAGAAAATTGTCGAATCACTATTAGAGAAGTTACTGAGGATATCGCCATAACAGTTGTCTGTTTTCATGCAATTTTCTCGAAAATTTTGGGCATCAAGTGTGTTGCGGCGAATTTCGTTCCAGAATTGATGAATTGGGACCAAAAAATTCGTCACATGAGCATTGCTCAACGGCGATCCAGATTTACTCGAAAGGGTTATAACTGGTTACAAATCATGCGTATATGGTTATGACATCGAAAACAAAGTCCAATCTATCCAATGGAAGAGCCCAGGAGAGCCAAGACCAAAAAACACGCCAAGTTCGATAAAATGTCAAGATGCATCAGAAGTTCTTGCGCACATGCATTATGCGCCGCTTGCGAAAAGCAATATGAAGGAAATGTCCAGTATTGTGGAAAAACAATTTTCGATAACACTTAAACACACTTCCTCTTCCATTTCTCTAGATACTTTTGTATCACGATAATGTATACCTGCTCACTCGCCATTGCATGTTCGTAATTTTTGGCCAAAATCAATACCGTAATCATGCCTCAGTCACCTCATTCACCAGATTTGCCCCCTGTGACTTTTTCCTGTGCCTGAGATTGAAGAGACCCATGAAAGGATGGTATTTTGTGACGATTGGGAAATGAAAATCGAATCGCTGAAAGAACTCAAGGACATACCATATCAGAACTGCTTGAGAATTGGAAACTACGCTGACACAAGTG